GACCCATAATCGAGAACAACGGTAGATTTCAAAGACTTGGACCTTCATACAGAGTCGACCATGCCACTACGTCCTAAGGTACTGTGTCGCTGGAGATGTGGGACACGCTATCACAGCTGGGGTCAAACTGCTCACTCACACACACAGACAGACAGACAGACAGACAGACAGACAGACGACATGTCCACCGAATGGGAGTGAGTAGAGTACTGTCTCTGCTCATGCTCCGGGCGAGGCAGAGAGTGCCTCGGTCAGTGATTCTGATTGGCTAACAGAATTTCCGCCACCGGACGAGCCACACCGTGCTGACCATTAACGACCTTTACGGTCGTTAACCTTGTTCTCCCTGTAATATTGAAAATATTTAATAGTAATAACAGTGGTATTTCTGGTGCGACGCAATAACACGATAAGGCATTCCGTAACACCGTTGAGTTATAATCTATCTATTCTGACGTTCAAATTTGTTGTCGAGTCTGGCCTCAAAGCTGTGGATGGAGGTGGCTTCCACAACTTCTGCTTTCAGTGCATCCCACTTGTTGACCAGCCGTACTGGTGGCCAGCACTCACCCCCGTACTGGGGACGAGTGTTGACCAGCCCGTACTGGTGGTCACCACTCACACCGTACTGGGGACGAGTTTTGACCATCCCTACTGGTGGTCACCACTCACCCCGTACTGGGACGGGTTTGACAAGCCTACTGACGTGTGTGACCAGCCCTACTGGTGGTCACCACTCGCCCCGTACTGGGACGAGTGTTGACCAGCCGTACTGGTGGTCACCACTCACCCCGTACTGGGGACGAGTGTTGACCAGCCCTACTGGTGGTCACCACTCGCCCCGTACTGGGGACGAGTGTTGACCAGCCGTACTGGTGGTCACCACTCACCCCGTACTGGGGACGAGTGTTTCCTCACATTCCTTCAGTTCATTTACGTTGTCCAGCTTCCACCTGTGTCCTCTTGTCCTACTTTCTCTTGTGTTGAAGCGGCTACTCTTGTCCACTGTGTCTATTTCCCCTCAGTATCTTATATGTCGTGATCATATCCCATATGTTTCTTCTATCCACTAGTGATGAGAGATTTAATTCCATTAGCCTATCCTCGTAGCTTAACCCGCTTAGCACCGGTAATAATCGTGTTGCAAACATTTGTACTTTTTTCTATTATTGTTTTTTGCTTCACAAAGTGCGGATTCCATGCCGGTGCTGCGTATTCCAGTATGGGTCTACGGAATGTTTAGATAGATTCCCTTTAAGGGGTCTTAATTTAGTGTTGTAAACAATATCTTATATTTGCTACCGTTCCACGTGGTGTGTCACTTGTGTGTACTGGTGGTGGTGGTGCCGGGGGGGGGGGGGCTCCACCACACAAACCACTGTCAGATCACCGGTGAGGGAGGACTCGTGCAGCGTCACCGGTGACGGAGGACTCGTGCAGCGTCCTGCGGCACCCGGAGTGAGGTTACGTCTTGTCCCATTTATTGTGACACATCCGGGTCCTCCGGGTCTCAGTCTCACCCTCTAGTAGTCTCTGTTCCTAGAGTTGCTTCTTCCTCTCTCTCAACTGTTTGTGCCATTTTTCAAGTCTGCTCGTATTCCTCATTTGTTCTTCATCCCTGATTCATTTTGTTGGCTCCTTACCCTTCTTGGCGTCTAAATCACTGCCTGGTGCACACACAACTCACACTGACGTGATGCATCACCGAGAAAATTAGTAGGAGCCAAAAGGAGGAATCGAACCTGCGCTCCGGGTACTCCCAAGCAACGCCCTAGACCACTACACTGCGACATGCTTGCAAAAGCATTACAACCTGCGCCTCGACTGAATTCTTTAGGGTTCCTGAGGCTTCCACTGAAGCCAAACCAGAGTTTCACACTATGGCTCCATGCACTGTGGCTCGTAGTCTAGGGGTGCTAGACTCCCTCGCTTGTCTTCAAATACACAAAGACATTCAGTCCTCTTAGCTCTGGCACAAATCTTCTTGCAAACCTTGGAACGTGTTCTTGTGTGGTTATATTCTCACGAGGTACATATTCCAGTACTACATATTCCAGTATTGCTCTAACAAACACCGCAGAACTCAAAACTTTTTGAAAATGAATTCTTGCAGCTGTTTGTTTGTCCACTTGTGTAGTTGATGAGGTCATCTTGTAAGTGTCTGCCGTTCTTCTCATCTTGTACATGACTCGATAGCGATGTCTGCCTACACTGATGTGTACCAGCTCACTCCTCTAGGCTGGTCATTCAGATCAATTATGAACAGTGGTGGTCCCAGCACCACCGACCCTTGGGCACTCCACTTGTTACCCTTCTTCAACTGGGAGCCGTTGGCTGGGAGTCTGTTTTCTGTCCTTCAGGTAGTCTCTTTACCCCGTCCTGTGTCTTCCCAGTTATCCCTGCTTGCTTCTCCATCTTCACCGCCACCCTTGTGACGTGGAACGGTATCGCTGAGTGCAGGTCGGCGTTCAATCTCCGACCGTCAAAGTCACAGGGCACCATTCCTTTCCCCGTCCCATCCCATCCCAAATCCTTATCCTGACCCCTTAGTGTTATATAGTCGTAATGGCTTGGCGCTTTCCCCCCGATAGTTGCCTTCCCTTCCTGTCATATTTTAGTAATCCTGTCATAGAACTCGATCAAGTTTGTGAGGCATATCTTTCCCTTTCTAAATCCATGCTGTCCATTTGCTACAAAATCTGTTCTCTCCAAATATTCAATGATTCTGCTCTTGATAACTTTTCCATCACTTTCCAAGTAACACTTGCCAGTGAGGCTGGTCTGAGTACCTCAGGTCTCTCCACTTCTCCCAGTATGGGGACCGCGTGTGTCTTGCTCCAATATCATGGAACGTTTCCAATCTCAAGTGTTTTATTGACTAACATCTGTTAGTGAGTGACAAAAAGGTCAATACAGCCTTCTTTCTTCATCAGCCATAGTGATGTTAAGTCTGGTCCTGTTGATTTTATTGCATATAATTCCTTCGGGTGTTTCTTGAACTCTTTCTTAAGAGTAACGAACTCCTGTGTCATTCAGCGTGGTGGCATTGCGTCTCGCAGCTCTGCTCTCCACACTGACTCTGTTGTAAAGACCTCCTGAAATCTTTAGCTCGGGTTGCTGGCATAAGTGTCGTTGTCTGTGGGAACTGCACATTATCTCTTCAGCCTGACCACGGGCTCCCGGGCTCTTATTGTCTCTTCTTATAGTGCGACGGGACACCTTTGGTGCTCCTGAACGCTCTCCGTGTAGTCGTCTTCCCTCTGCGTCCCTCCTGGGGTGGGGAGACAGAGAGGGAGAGAGAGAGAGAGAGAGAGAGAGAGAGAGAGAGAGAGAGAGAGATAGAGAGAGAGAAACAAAGTCCCTCCTGACTCCGTTATGTTTATTTCTGGTTCTCTTTAGTGTGTGTGGTTGTTGTCTCACGTTCTTATTTCTCTGTATATTTAGTTAATGCCATTCGGTGGCGGAGGTGAGAGTGGGGGGGGGAATTGGAGGTGGGGGTGTGTAGGTGGTGGTGGGGGTGCTCGTGGTGTGTGGGGGGTGCTCGTGGTGGTGGGGGTGTACGTGGTGGTGGGGGGGTGTAGGTGGTGGTGGGGGTGTACGTGGTGGTGGGGGTGTAGGTGGTGGTGGGGGTGTAGGTGGTGGTGGGGGTGTACGTGTTGGTGGGGGTGTACGTGGTGGTGGGGGGGTGTACGTGGTGGTGGGGGTGTACGTGTTGGGGGGGGTGTACGTGGTGGTGGGGGTTGGGGTGGTACGTGGTGGTGGGGGTGTACGTGTTGGTGGGGGTGTACGTGGTTGGTGGGGTGAGTGGTGGTGGTGGGGGTGTACGTGTTGGTGTGGGGTGTGTACGTGGTGGTGGGGGGGTGTACTTGGTGGTGGGGGTGTACGTGTTGGTGGTGGGGGTGTACGTGGTGGTGGGGGTGTACGTGTTGGTGGGGGTGTACTTGGTGGTGGGGGTGTACGTGGTGGTGGGGGTGTACGTGGTGGTGGGGGTGTACGTGGTGGTGGGGGGGGTGTAGGTGGTGGTGGGGGTAGGTGTACGTGGGGGTGTACGTGTTGGTGGGGGTGTACGTGGTGGTGGGGTGTACGTGTTGGTGGGGGTGTATGTGGTAGTGGGGGTGTACGTGTCGGTGGGGGTGTACATGGTGGTGGGGGGGTGTACGTGTCGGTGTGGGGTGTACGGTGGGGGGTGGTGGTGGGGGTGTACGTGGCTGACGATGTACGTGGATAGTTGTGACCGTAGGTGATTGTGTACATGAGACTAGTCTGCTGGCATATATCTGCACTTAATACAATTCAGTTTTGTCTTTAAATAAACAAACACTCCCTGCAGGGGCTGCACATTCAAAGATTGGTCTGACATATGTTTATAGTTCATTAATTACTTATGTCTCAGATTTATAAAGGTAAATTTTATACACGTTTGATGTATGCTTGGGAAACATGTTGGCTGTGATGTTAGTCTCCAAGTCTTTACGTCTGATTCTTTTCTTGTTTCATCTCCTATTTGCTGTCCTGTTCGCAGACTCTAGTTTCATTAGCTTGCACTTACTTGAGTTAAACTCTAGTAGCTATCTGTTGAACATTATTTAAATTTGTTGAGATCATCTTTTAGCTTCTTGCTCTTTGCCTCCCAGAAGGGACAGACTCATTTGTAGGTCATTTGCATATATCAGAAACAGAATAGATCTGATTGCTATAGATAGAACCGGCACTCTGCTAGTGACATCTCACCATTCTGAGTACTTTTTTCTCGCCGTGTCTTGCTGTGTTCTGTTGCTTAGGTACTCCATCATCAACACCAACCCTTCTCTGTCACATTTGCCTGCTTGTGTGGAAGCAAGCACAGGCTTTCGACAGTCTCGAAGGCTTTTTGGCAATCCAAAATGTGCAGTCTATCCACACTTGTCTGCCTCTCTTGATGTATCTCGCCCAGTCACAGAGTAGTTCCATCACATTTGTGAGGCCAGAGTTACCATCCCCGAGTCTGTGCTGGTCCTTTGTTATTGGGCTTCTTCTCTATCATCTTCTCTATCATCTTCTCTATCATCTTCTCTATCATCTTCTCTATCATCTTCTCTATCTTGTGCAAGTAATATACACAGGTCTATGTTTCAGTGACTCTTATGTCTCCCTTCTTGTACATTGGCACATCATACCTCTCTGTCATCTTTCTGGTAGGTCTCTTATTAGCAAGTCTCTTATTTGTATTGATGAATAACGTATTATGCTTAAAAAGAAGGGCAAGTGTAGGGTTTGTGCTACTTCTTTAGTATCCATGTTGATATTTTGTCTGGTTGTATAGTCATAATAGCTCCAGCAGGTGCATCCTTACCGCATCTTTGGTGGTTTCAACACCACTCCAGTACTACTTGGTTGAACTCAGTCTCGCTCAATACTTCCCTATACTCTATTGTAATGACCTCCTGGAATATGTTAAGACGCTGACACGCATATCTTTCATTCTGTTCCTTTACTATTGTTTTCCTCCTGACGGCACTGTGAAGCAGCACGAGTCGCGTCTTGTCGTTTATCTGCTCAGTCGTTTTCGTTTTCTCTGAGGCATTAATTCCTGGCGCTCTGCTTCCTCTATTTACTCTGTGCTGTTCTCTTGACCCTGATGTTGCCTGGCCGCGGCCAAGTGCCTCATTACTCTGCTTCCTTCACAACCTGGCTTAAATAATGGGTCTCTATATCATTCATTTTTATATTTTTTGAACGGCAACATATTGGGCTCCTGTCTACTGACACATTTAGCTGGCGGGTGTCCCGAGTAGCTCCTGGGTGTACCATTCACTCTATCAGCCTCTTTATTCTTTATAGATCCATCTCTGAACACCTTATTTCTATTTACGATAAGGCCCAACTACTTGCGCTGGACGGTTAGGCGACGGTCTCGCTTCATGCAGGTCGGCGTTCAATCACCGACCGTCCAAGTGGTTAGGCATCATTCCTATCCCTCCGTCCCATCCCAAATCCTTATCCTGACCCCTTACTAGGGCTATATAATCGCAATAGCTTTGTGCTTTCCCCTGATAGTTCAATTGAATATTTACGACAGGTACTGGCACGTGTACACAGTGATCACTCACTCCCATCAGCAACGCAAGCTCCAGGTTCCTCACATTAGAGTAGATCATTAGATCATAACTCTAGATCCCCCTTGACATGTTGGCTTATGAAGTACATTTTGCGGTTTCCGATAGCTTAGTTCTCCAGTTATGTGTCCCTCTGTGGTTTTTTGTTTTGCCTCAGACTATCCTGTGGTTGTGAAGTTTCTCATGAGTAATAGTCAGGATACTTGCCACACAGGCGGTAGATTGACCCTTTCTGCTCTAGCAGTAGCTGGGTGTGGCAGACACTGGGTGTGGCAGACACTGGGTGTGGCAGACACTGGGTGTGGCAGACACTGGGTGTGGCAGACACTGGGTGTGGCAGACACTAGGTGTGGCAGACACTGGGTGTGGCAGACACTGGGTGTGGCAGACACTGGGTGTGGCAGACACTGGGTGTGGCAGACACTGGGTGTGGCAGACACTGGGTGTGGCAGACACTGGGTGTGGCAGACACTAGGTGTGGCAGACACTAGGTTTGGCAGACACTGGGTGTGGCAGACACTAGGTGTGGCAGACACTAGGTGTGGCAGACACTGGGTGTGGCAGACACTGGGTGTGGCAGACACTGGGTGTGGCAGACACTAGGTGTGGCAGACACTGGGTGTGGCAGACACTGGGTGTGGCAGACACTAGGTGTGGCAGACACTAGGTGTTGCAGACACTGGGTGTGGCAGACACTAGGTGTGGCAGACACTAGGTGTGGCAGACACTAGGTGTGGCAGACACTAGGTGTGGCAGACACTGGGTGTGGCAGACACTAGGTGTGGCAGACACTAGGTGTGGCAGACACTGGGTGTGGCAGACACTGGGTGTGGCATGAAGGATCTGCCAGAGGGTGTCAAGATACAGTGGGTGGGGGGGTGGATTGCGAGGTGGATTGTAAAAGGGTGCTGGGAGGGTCTGGTTGTGTGTTTAGGATTGTGTTGCGGTTCAGTCGACCTGATTCTGTGTTTCCCTCTAGAGTTGTCACCCTGGAGAGTGTGTTCCTCGCGCCTCATCTGTGCCTCTACCCTGCCTCTATAGCACTGGCTATACTTTCGTTGTTTCTCTAAAAAGAATGTACTACTTATTTTGTTACTTCGATGTTTACAACAACTGTGTAGGATCTCTGTCGATGGCTTTCCTCTCATTTGTTAATCCTTATTTTCCTTAATTCCTGACACAACTTTTTCTCTTCTGTCTTAAAGTTAGCTGGAGCTCCTTACAGCTTCCTGAATAACGGCTTCTTGCGTGGGACTTCCTTTATGGCTAAACATATGGCTTCTGGGTTCCTGTTTAACCTTTCTGAAAATGAAAAGATCATTAAGGTCACGTCCACTTGGGACCCACCAGTTGGACGGTTAGATATATCTAACACCTGACGGGGGTCAGTGTCTTGTATCTTTTGGACGACATTCATCTCCGTTGGTGTTCTTGACTCACTCTTGACGACGTTCATCGCTTCATTCATTTCTTTCAATTCACCAGTGATCGTTCTCCACCCACGGCTCGCCAGTTGGTCTACTGCATCCCCCCCCCCCTGGCTGCTCCCATGTTCATTCCTGTCTATCACCCTCTCCCACCACCCTGCTCCCTCCCTCCCTCCCTCCCTCCATCCGTGGTCCCGTGTTGAGTCCTGTCCATCTTCCTTCTTTATGCTGATCTGTTTCATTAGACATATGGGAGCCTGGGAGGTAGAGTGGAAGGAACAGAGAGAGAGAGAGAGAGAGAGAGAGAGAGAGAGAGAGAGAGAGAGAGAGAGAGAGAGAGAGAGAGAGAGAGAGAGAGAGAGAGAGAGAGAGAGAGAGAGAGAGAGAGAGAGAGAGAGAGAGAGAGAGAGAGAGAGAGAGAGAGACAGACAGACAGAGAGACAGAGAGAGAGACAACGGGTGTAGTGGCATTAAGAGGTTCAACAGCAACACAGGTACCAGAAACATCAACAAACACTGCAGCAGCAGAACAAGCCCCGGCACCGGTATATGAATACCAGCAACACCTGCAGCAGAAGCAGCAACAACGACCCAGTCTGCGCGTGTGTCTGCCGGCGTAGTCATCGTTCGACGGCAACTGGTGGCAGGCGGCGGCGGCGGCGGCGGCGGCAAGCGTGAGGATCGATGGCAGTGACGTCACGGGCCCCGTCAAAGCGCCGCGCTGACGTCACAGAGACACCATCGACCAGTCACATAAAGAAGATCGTCCAGTGCGGGGCTGCTGCCTCCCGTGGCTGCCCTGGAGCTGACGCCCAACCCTGACCTAGAGCTGACACCCAACCCTGACCTAGAGCTGACACCCAACCCTGACATGGAGCTGACATTCAGCCACTCAGGTCACCCATAGCGGTGACCTTTAGCCCTACCAGCTGTGACCTTCCCCTCCACCCCCACCACGGGGCGGACCACATACCCCAACCCAGTGTGCGAGAGGTCACTGTATCCGGCTGGCCGTCACTGTCGGCTCCTGTTTACTGCCTGACCTTCACTGTGGCCAGCTGCCTCCTGACCTTCACTGTAGCCAGCTGCCTCCTGACCTTCACTGTAGCCAGCTGCCTCCTGACCTTCACTGTGGCCAGCTGCCTCCTGACCTTCACTGTGGCCAGCTGCCTCCTGACCTTCACTGTAGCCAGCTGCCTCCTGACCTTCACTGTAGCCAGCTGCCTCCTGACCTTCACTGTAGCCAGCTGCCTCCTGACCTTCACTGTAGCCAGCAGCCTCCTGACCTTCACTGCGGCCAGCTGCCTCCTGACCTTCACTGTAGCCAGCTGCCTCCTGACCTTCACTGTGGCCAGCTGCCTCCTGACCTTCACTGTGGCCAGCTGCCTCCTGACCTTCACTGTAGCCAGCTGCCTCCTGACCTTCACTGTGGCCAGCTGCCTCCTGACCTTCACTGTGGCCAGCTGCCTCCTGACCTTCACTGTAGCCAGCTGCCTCCTGACCTTCACTGTGGCCAGCTGCCTCCTGACCTTCACTGTGGCCAGCTGCCTCCTGACCTTCACTGTAGCCAGCTGCCTCCTGACCTTCACTGTGGCCAGCTGCCTCCTGACCTTCACTGTGGCCAGCTGCCTCCTGACCTTCACTGTAGCCAGCTGCCTCCTGACCTTCACTGTGGCCAGCTGCCTCCTGACCTTCACTGTGGCCAGCTGCCTCCTGACCTTCACTGTGGCCAGCTGCCTCCTGACCTTCACTGTGGCCAGCTGCCTCCTGACCTTCACTGTGGCCAGCTGCCTCCTGACCTTCACTGTGGCCAGCTGCCTCCTGACCTTCACTGTGGCCAGCTGCCTCCTGACCTTCACTGTGGCCAGCTGCCTCCTGACCTTCACTGTGGCCAGCTGCCTCCTGACCTTCACTGTAGCCAGCTGCCTCCTGACCTTCACTGTGGCCAGCTGCCTCCTGACCTTCACTGTGGCCAGCTGCCTCCTGACCTTCACTGTAGCCAGCTGCCTCCTGACCTTCACTGTAGCCAGCTGCCTCCTGACCTTCCCTGTGGCCAGCTGCCTCCTGACCTTCACTGTGGCCAGCTGCCTCCTGACCTTCACTGTGGCCAGCTGCCTCCTGACCTTCACTGTGGCCAGCTGCCTCCTGACCTTCACTGTGGCCAGCTGCCTCCTGACCTTCACTGCTGCCAGCTGCCTCCTGACCTTCACTGTTGGCAGCTGTTGGCAGGTTCACTGAAAACAGAATCGTAGTGTAAGCTCTGTATATCACTCACTTATGTGTTGCCATCTGTGAAAGTTCCTTGCTTAGTTTCGTACATTGTACTTAGTTTCTTACATTGTACTTAGTTTCTTACATTGTACTTAGTTTCTTACATTGTACTTAGTTTCTTACATTGTACTTAGTTTCTTACACTGTACTTAGTTTCTTACATTGTACTTGGTTTCTTACATTGTACTTAGTTTCTTACATTGTACTTAGTTTCTTACATTGTACTTAGTTTCTTACATTGTACTTAGTTTCTTACATTGTACTTAGTTTCTTACATTGTACTTAGTTTCTTACATTGTACTTAGTTTCTTACATTGTACTTAGTTTCTTACATTGTACTTATTTTCTTACATTGTACTTAGTTTCTTACATTGTACTTAGTTTCTTACATTGTACTTAGTTTCTTACATTGTACTTAGTTTCTTACATTGTACTTAGTTTCTTACATTGTACTTAGTTTCTTACATTGTACTTAGTTTCTTACATTGTACTTAGTTTCTTACATTCAATGTTTGTTATTCTGTAACGACTAGTCTAGTAAATGGTTATTCTTAGATTAGTCAGACTTTAAAAAAATTACTTAACTGATTTTAATTTATGTAATTTGGATGTTGGATTGTGAATACTTAGAAACGTTAGTGAGGTGATATGCCGTATGCAAATTTGACCATCTTGAGTATAATAATGAGAAATGTAGCTACTAATGAGAGCAACATATATGTATATATGTAATAATATGTAACGTACATATGTAACGTATATGTAACAACATATATGTATAATTAACAGGTTTGGCTAGACATATGGCTTATGTTGAGATTTCGTTCTGTTTGAATGAATGGCAGTTCTTGTTGCAATGTTGGTTGTGGCGTAGTGTTGGGTTTAATGCCTGTCAACAACACGAGGTTATTTAGACAACAACAACAGCATACTGTGCAACCAGGCAGTATACTTTATTGTATTATAGTCCATACACATAGAGGTATAGTGCTATATCTCCTAGTGCATATATCCTTGTTGATGTTGCTGGTAGGCCTCAATGATTAATAGAGAATCTCGTCAGTGTATTTGCAAATGTATTTAAATTTGTGTATATTTCGAGGAAACGCGAGTACAGAGTTGGTGATGTGTAATGTTGACAGCGCGATGTGAAACTTGTCAATAAGTGACTTGTTCCTCAGATGCAAGTGTCGTCTAAGAAACTTAGAAAAAAGTTTGAAAATAATTAATGTGCTGAGAGAGAGATGTCCTTGTAAGTGTTACCAACCACGCCACTTGACCCCTGGCTAACAGGCTGCGGGAGGTAGTAGTGTTACCAATTCTCCAAGATGGCATTTAAAGAAACAGGATGGAAGTATTATATTTAAATAAATGCTAAGTATTATGGAATGTTTCTGTATTACAATTATTGTTGAGACCTGTAGGGAATTGCTAATTTTCATTTTGTGAAGTTTTTAACCTATTAATTTAACAGATAATATAGACTTAATGGTTGTTATTTTAGATGTGGGCCCCATAGAAGTGGGGGGTAGGCCCATCTGCTCCCCTGATAGTGTTCCTGCTCCCCCCCCCCCAGACAGTGTTTCTGCTCCCCCCCAGACAGTGTTTCTGCTCCCCCCCAGACAGTGTTTCTGCTCCCCCCCCAGACAGTGTTTCTGCTCCCCCCAGACAGTGTTTCTACTTAGCGCTGGCAGTGTTGCTAACCTTATACATACATTTTCCTGGATATATATTTTGTCCTTAGTAACCTTGATAGGATATTCACTATTCTTTCTTAACTATTCTTTCCTGTAAGGCTGGAGCTGGGGTTCTTGGCCAGGCACCACTGTGAATAATCTTTACGCCTAGGGTGTTCTTTATAATACTCGTTATGAATGTCTCGGGTTGAGCCACAAGTCTTCATTTTTCATCATGTTCTTAAACGTGTATTTTCAGCATGTTCTTAGACGTCTATTTTCAGCATGTTCTTAGACGTGTATTTTCAGCATGTTTGTAGATACGTATATACATCATGTTGATATTCATACGTTCACTGTAGACTGGATCTGGTCTTATATTATTCACGTGCAGTATACTGTGAGGTGGTCACGTGCAGTATACTGTGAGGTGGTCACGTGCAGTATACTGTGGTGGTCACGTGCAGTATACTGTGTGGTGGTCACGTGCAGTATACTGTGAGGTGGTCACGTGCAGTATACTGTGGTGGTCACGTGCAGTATACTGTGTGGTGGTCACGTGCAGTATACTGTGTGGTGGTCACGTGCAGTATACTGTGTGGTCACGTGCAGTATACTGTGTGGTGGTCACGTGCAGTATACTGTGAGGTGGTCACGTGCAGTATACTGTGTGGTGGTCACGTGCAGTATACTGTGGTGGTCACGTGCAGTATACTGTGTGGTAGTCACGTGCAGTATACTGTGTGGTGGTCACGTGCAGTATACTGTGTGGTAGTCACGTGCAGTATACTGTGTGGTGGTCACGTGCAGTATACTGTGTGGTAGTCACGTGCAGTATACTGTGTGGTGGTCACGTGCAGTATACTGTGGTGGTCACGTGCAGTATACTGTGTGGTAGTCACGTGCAGTATACTGTGTGGTGGTCACGTGCAGTATACTGTGTGGTAGTCACGTGCAGTATACTGTGTGGTGGTCACGTGCAGTATACTGTGTGGTAGTCACGTGCAGTATACTGTGTGGTGGTCACGTGCAGTATACTGTGGTGGTCACGTGCAGTATACTGTGTGGTGGTCACGTGCAGTATACTGTGTGGTGGTCACGTGCAGTATACTGTGTGGTGGTCACGTGCAGTATACTGTGTGGTGGTCACGTGCAGTATACTGTGTGGTAGTCACGTGCAGTATACTGTGTGGTGGTCACGTGCAGTATACTGTGGTGGTCACGTGCAGTATACTGTGTGGTGGTCACGAGCAGTATACTGTGTGGTGGTCACGTGCAGTATACTGTGGTGGTCACGTGCAGTATACTGTGAGGTGGTCACGTGCAGTATACTGTGGTGGTCACGTGCAGTATACTGTGGTGGTCACGTGCAGTATACTGTGAGGTGGTCACGTGCAGTATACTGTGGTGGTCACGTGCAGTATACTGTGTGGTGGTCACGTGCAGTATACTGTGTGGTGGTCACGTGCAGTATACTGTGAGGTGGTCACGTGCAGTATGCTGTGGTGGTCACGTGCAGTATACTGTGGTGGTCACGTGCAGTATACTGTGTGGTGGTCACGTGCAGTATACTGTGTGGTGGTCACGTGCAGTATACTGTGTGGTGGTCACGTGCAGTATACTGTGTGGTGGTCACGTGCAGTATACTGTGTGGTGGTCACGTGCAGTATACTGTGAGGTGGTCACGTGCAGTATACTGTGTGGTGGTCACGAGCAGTATACTGTGAGGTGGTCACGTGCAGTATACTGTGTGGTGGTCACGTGCAGTATACTGTGAGGAGGTGACGTGTGACGGTGGAGGTAACACAGTCACTAAGATCTTCACCACATGAAGCACATTAAGAACAAATGACGTCACTGATCACTTACTTCACTAATTGTGACGTCACAGTCCGCAATATAATAAACCCCGCGACCAGGAAGTGACGTGTCGCATGACGTCACGGACCAGGAAGTGACGTCTTATATGACATCACGACACAGATAGTGTCGCAAATGGACGAGGACAGAACCTAGTTGGCAGCAATCCGACGCTAACTATTTTACAGCCTCATTACGGCCGTCTTCCTTTACCGCACCGCGTTACGCCAGCCTGCCCTCATGTGTTGACGCAACTCATAACACCTCATTATCATACGCCTTGTCAGGAGTGGGCAAGGATTTCTTCAGGGTGGAATTTTGATTGGTCGAGAGTCGAGGATAGGGGCATAGCGGCCTGCTCGCTGATTGGTTATCACCTCGGATGCTCTTCATTCCTATTGGTTGGTATTTGATAACAATACCAAGCGATGGAGTCACTTCTTAGTGTTGATTGGTTACTGGATAAAGGGGTCATTTCATTGGCCAGTGCTCGCCCTTGACCTGACATTATATATATATGTTCTGTGTATATTTCATTCAGCTGGGTACTAGTAGACTCGAACCACCGACCCGACGAGCGGGAGACAGAAGCTCTCACCACTATACTATGACCAACCTCAGTGGTTATGGTGTCTTTCTCGCTCGTCGGGGCGGCGTACCTATCTCTCTCTCTCTCTCTCTCTCTCTCTCTCTCTCTCTCTCTCTCTCTCTCTCTCTCTCTCTCTCTCTCTCTCTCTCTCTCTCTCTCTCTCTCTCTCTATATATATATATATATATATATACTATATATATATATATATATATATATATATATATAAATATATATATATATATATTGTTACGGCCCTACTGGGACGCAACCGGGTTCTTCTCTGATGGTATTAGAGTTTTGGGTATCCAGCCCCAAGTTAGTAGAGGCTTTCAAGGGGTGAGCTCCGTAATACAAATGAAAACAATAGGGGAGGTATATAAGTACGCTAAATTATAAGAATTTTTCTTTAAATATATTTACCACCACCATATATATATATAACAGGTCACACGGGGATTATTACTACACTTATGTACAGTTCCGTCTTCCTACGAAGACACTGGATGCTTAACGATGCTCACTCTGGGTAGCCCTGGTTCCTTCTTCCGTGGCCCATGATGAATCCACTATGACTATGACGAATCTACCCTGGCCATAGGCCAGCCAAATCACAGTCCCACTGGGTACTTCGTCGTGGAGGCCTTCAACCACAATCCAGCCTGTAGCTGGCAGGTACCGATCAGCTCCGCTGTGTAGGCCACTCCACGACCGATACTAGGGTTGCGAGCCCTAGGCAGGAGCCTCGTGTGATCCCGCTAATCACTCTCCTCACTAAGCACCACAGTGGCTAGTCTCTTCCACCAGCCAGCCCCGGATAAGGCGATTCCCGACACTG